TCACAGTTATCGAGACCATCGACAACAACTACAAGACGAGTTTGACTTCTTGTGAAAGCATCCAAAGATCTAATCATATCAGCCAAAATATCAACCTAAAAAAGCGAGGACTTTGTATTGCAATCATTCACAAGTCAAATGCCAGGTAAATCTTTCTTTTCAAACTACGCCTGCCTTATATCAGTACGCATAGCAGTTTTAAAAATGATATAATTTTAAATCTATAAATTTTGAGCTGTTTAAATAGTAAGTGTATGTAAAAAGCTGCCACAATCGCAATCTAACATTTTTAAACACTCACCTCGGACTGCAGCTTCTGCATTAGCCCCTCAAATCGCAGCTTATGAACAGATCTTGCCGCTTCGTTCACGCGTTTTCTTGGAACGTTAGTATACCCGTATCGTAACAGGATGATAACAGGATAGATGGTCAGCATGAGAAAAATCGTCATGAACGCGACTGAGATGACGAATAGTCTGCAACAGGAAAAGTGGCGCCGCAAATTCACTCATTTACTGGGAAAAATGTCGATGGTAAAAAGTAAAACTTACGCTCCAGAATTCGTATCCCTCTCACTAAACAACCATATAGTCATGAAAATTTCAGAAGAAAGCAGCATACAGATAGCAACTCCGACTAACAACACAATTGGAACACCACAATGTCTGCGTAGAGATCCATGTTGCCCAGCTGGAAGTTCACATTTCCAGAATGGCAGCCTGCTCCAACAACCTCCAAAACTTACGATAGGCAGATCGCAGCGAACAGAAAAGTCGTACGGGCAGCACCCCAAAGTGGGTTTCAGCAGATTCGAATAATGTTGCTACGATCTTTGCAAGTGCCTGTTCACCACCAATTGAGGATAGACGATGGTAGTCAGCGAAGAGGAAACTGAATTCCATAACGTGAAATGAAGGCGGCATCAAAGACTTTATTCACTTATAATGGAGTTTAATGACTGTGTCACTCCAGTCAAGATAAGTTAGCAGATAACTGTTAAACGGTTTCCTCCTCAATTCTAAGTGCCTTTTGCTGCGTTGAGCTATGTAATGACTGATTAAAGCTACATCTCTAAACTGTTTTGTACCTTCGTATAGAGAATACCTACTCTTTTTTCTTCTCTCTGATTATTCCTTGTAAAAAAAAA